TGGCTGTTTCCAAGTCTCCCTACTTTTTGACAAGTTGATTTTTTTTAATGAAAAAATATATATTTTAAAACCTGCAGTCAGCTGAGACTGAAGAAGCTCATCAGATGATGATAAAATAGTAATTAGGTCTATAAAAAACAGCAAAATGCAACACTGCAAATAAGACGAGTCTAGTGCTGCAGAAAAACTGGTGATTAATCACACAGAGAGGGGTAAAATAAACATTTTCTTCCTTATAATTATTTTATTGGTGAGGGCACGCGGCTTACTTCAGAATGCATATTAGCGTTCTGAACCCTTAAACTGAATACATTACTGTATACATCACTATAAACATCCTAATACTGTCTACTAATAAAGGAGATGTGGAAATTCCTTTAGTTTGTTGTCAGATCAGGGGGATGTTAATTTGATTGATTCAACTGTGTTCTAATTGCTGCAATTCCACTGGTGTAAAATAGACGCAACAGCACATTAGAACCAAGTATTAAAACATACAAATTCTGAAACAGCAAATTAAAACATTCTGCTCATTCTTTTGACATTAATCTCTGTCTCTCTTCCACAGCATGTCTTTATCCTGTCTTCCTTCTCTCTCCCCAACCGGTCACGGCAGATGGAGGTTTCTTCCTGTTAAAAGGGATTTTTTTGTTAACACACTGAGGGATAATGGGAATTAGACACAGTTGGGAAGAAATAAAACACAGATGCAAATGATCAACCAAATCACAGGAAGTAAAACTGAATATACAGAAAAACAACTAACAAAGTAAGATAAGGAAGTAAGCAACAATACCTAAAGAGAGAAACAAAGGCACAAAAATAAACTTTCTATTGGGAAAATAGAGGGAAAAATCTAATTTAAAGAGGAACTAGAACTAAGAACTCAAGATTAAACATTTAAATAAACACACTAAAAAACACACACACTCCATGTGAACATGGAGTGTGTGTGTTTTTCATTTGTTTATGGTTAACAGATGGGTTATATACATTGTGACAACAGTCAGCTCTTCTTCATTATGCTCCTGTATTGCAGTGTAGTTAAGCTTTAGGTCATTTGTGTGATACAGCTAAGATGTTGTGCTGTGACTTGTGTAAGTGCACAGGTGTATATTTGTACACGTGTGTGCGTTTGTGTGTTTCATGTGTGCTAATGCTCTTTCTTCACCTCCAAGCTTGGAGTTGCTGCAGTGTCATGGGGTCACATTCTCGCTGGTGTAATACTGCACTCAGGCAAAATGCTTAGCCAAACAATCGACTTCTGTGTGATTATTAATGGTGTTATTGCTGCTCAAGGGTCTTTAAAAGGAAGTTATTGTGATGTGAGATATGGCGCTGCAGTTTCCATATCAAAAGTCTTTTTCCACCAGCATAAACAAGTCAAGTTTCTAAACCATATATTATTCCCTGTTGTTAGACTGTCTGGGCAGAGTGCTTTCATTCTTTTTCTTTCTCTGCCTTTCTTTTCTTTCTGTCTTCTTCTCCAGGGAGACATTTTTTTCCTTTGTTTTTTTAGGGCTGGGCTAGGGTGGAGAACGCTAGTGTTGCTGGCGTTTAACAGGGCAGCACATCCATGCCAAAAAGTGAGTTCACCAAACTGCTGTTTCCCCAGAGGAGATGCAATAAGATTTCTGCTAGAGGCCCAGCCAGACACTTGACTTATAGATGAAAAAGGAGACGTGGGGAGGATGAACAACAAGGATTAGGGGGTGAGGATGAGGGTGTGTTTGGGGTGAAGAAAAGGAAACTTGGTTTGCTCAACAAAAATGAATTTCAGACAACACAAACTGGATATTTTTTCATCTGAACATGAACAGGTGGATGGGGAACTGTGGTTTGGCTTGAGAAAGGAAAACCTCATGAATGAAAGTGTCAGGTCCCAGAACTTTGAATAATTTATAATTGATTATTTTGTTTTTAAGTGTTTATATTTCATCTTTTCGACCCAAATTGCCTCATTTCTTCTCATGATTCAGGGATGAAGAGTTGGCTTGGCTCAGTTATTAACATAAGAATTTCGCCAATATTATGTTTTCAGTGTTAGTGACATGTTGGACGTTTTACGAGCATTGACACCACTAAGCAAAATGCAATTCTTATGTGTGGTCACCTCAGTCGGTATTTTAATTGCATTCCTTCCACCATAAACCACAAAATACTCACAAAAGTATAATTCAAAAATGCATGAAAGATGTAGGCTTTGACCTTTTAATTTAAACTTATTTCATTATCCCTTATCTCATTTTAGTGTATCTTAAATGTTCTCATCTTTCATTTAAAAATGACCTCTCGCCACTTACAGTAACATTTCTTGGCACTGTCTCATGGTTAATGGAGAATCTGGATTTTTGGATTTCTGGACTCAACAGATCACATGGTGCTTGTCCTTCACCTGTTTTATTCTTTTTCTTGTACTCTGTTAGTATTTTTCATATCAGCTTTGATCCTAGCTGTTTTTCTTTACCAAGTGGTAACCTTTAGGTTAAAAACAAATTAAGCCTACGTGAAAGTGGCAAAAACTGCAGTCCTTTGAGGTGCCTTTTGAGGCTGGCTTCAGTCAATTTCCATAGACTCCGATGTTAAAATGCCTATCTTTGCAGCAGTGAAAAGCATATTTTACACCCTGGTACAAAAGTGATGTTGTACTTCCTCCCCTTCATAACAAACCCGAATGGGCTAAAAAGTTATTTTTATAACTACCTGTATCTGTTGGATCCTTTTGGAGCATTTTAGAAGGGATTATTTGACTAATATTTTAGCTTGCTATGGAGATACAGACCATCACACAAGTTTATACTTTGGCTTCAGTGAGTGACTTTTAGCATATATGTGTGTGTTTGTATGTTTGAGTCACCATTTCCACTGTCTTACCACAGAAAGGAAAAAAAAATCGGAACAGCCCAGGTTTAAGTCCAAGTCGAGCCCCTTTGCTACAACTCTTCCCCACTCCCTCCCAGCTTTCCTCTCCACTCAACACTAGAGATACTAGAATATAAAAATGACGAGCAGGATACTCATAACAGATTGGCTTTTTCTTGGCATCTTAATTCACTAATAGACATGTACAACCAAAATTCAATAGTGCTCTTTCATTACAGAAATGCCATAATTATGACCAACGCTGTGATGTTGGACAGTGCACTGTCATGTTGTAGTGACACACACTTTCTGTGCTTTGAAGAAGTTGAGAGCATGAGCCAAGTCCTTTTTATGTCCCAGGTTGCTACAGTAATGGGTGCTTACATCAATGCAGCACTGACACCTGATTGGGCCGGCTGTAACCTATGGCCCATAGCACGTAGACTTAGACTGCACTTATGATGTTTCTCCCATCTATAACTGGAAAATCGGCAATACCATCAGTAAAGAAAATAAAAAGGGAAATCAAAGAGGTTTTCCATAAGTGTGCAGCCATAGCAGCCGGGCTTGGTCTTTTTTAAAAGTGCTTTCAGGGACGCTTAGAGTGTGGCCTTATAAGGTCTTTACAACTTGACAACATGTCATGCACTTTGAGTTTCTCTGGCTTGTATTCTGTGTAGGCTGCTTATTAAACTGAGGCTCTAGAAGAAACATTAATAAGCTATGCTACACTCAGCTGGGTCATATTAGTTATTTAAAAGAAGGGTTATGTTTTTAAAGCTTTATGAAAACATCTATATTACTACTTATGTGACATCACCAACATCAAAATAGAGAACCTCAGACTCCATTAAACACAACAAGGACACACTCATCAAAAAGCTGTTCCACAGAAGTCGTAGCACTCCATGGGGAACTTTCAAAAACTCCCAACTCCACAGCAATGGAAAAAATATATGTACATTGACGTATGCTGGCCACTAAGCTATTTGTTCCAGTGTTAAACCACATTATCAGATTTGATGTTTGTAGCCACAGTGCTGTTTTAGTACGAGGTGAAATGTCTGAGAAGTGTGACGCAGCCAAGATGGATCACGTCAGGCTGCGCAGTTGATCCCTCACCCTGTTGACTAGATTTGTAGGACTGTGCAGTGCCAAAGAGAACACGTCCAAACAAAGCACGTCTCACCCCCACCCTTCAGCTTCACTGCTCATGAGCTCTGCAGTATAATGGCATGAAAATATTTTAACTTCATTTAAGACCACAGTTAATCATTGTGGAATTATGTCAGTACCTTTCTGTTGGTATAATTTCAGCCATTTTTAGTGTCTTTAACACAACTTCGGATTTGATTTCTTTAACTGACACTTTCTTGTTTTCTCTTTCAGACACTGTCTAATTATATTGTCTCGTCTTTCTACCTAATATTTTCTGATTTTGACCTGAAAAGTGAAAGACTCCTCAGCAAAACAAAGGCAACCACTGTGCCTCTGTTTTGCTCTGTCAGTGTCTATTAAGTGACACTTAGTAATGAAGTAGGCTCAATGCTGCACTGATAACATTGTTAATGGCTTCCTTTAAGTTGTCTTGGACCAGAAGAATATCTCCTTCTTCATGTTACAGCAGCTAATTACTTCCTTTTTGTAGTTCTGACAGTGATTAAAGGCAGATGGGGAGATTAATCATTTTGAATTATCGTCACCACCTTTAAAGACTGAAGACAAAAGATCATGGCTGGTATCCTTAATTCCCCTTTGTGTTTGAGGCATGATGGGTAGAGTTTTGTATGAATGAGGATTTATGAAAATATTGATACATTTGAATGTAAAACTGGTCTTTTATCTCCTCTCATTATTGATGATGAGAGGAAATAAAGGAAATAATCCCAGGAATAGTGTATAGCATTTTTGTTTGAAAAAACATCTCTGCACAGAAGAGCCAGGCGTCATGAATGAAAGCAATTGATGTGCCTGGTGAGTGTTAATGTAGAGGGCTGTTGTTTTGTCAGTTGAATTGCAAGTGCTGAAATGATTGAAGGTTCTAGACCGGATCCGTTCAGTGCCATGTTTCAAAGCAGCTAAAATGTCATTTGAAGTTTCATTATTAAAAGTAGAGGAAACCTGTGTTCACTCTGCAGACTCCAAATAGCGGGCCCCCTCCCCTGCCCAGCTCATCTCTTCCAGAAGGCTACTATGAGGAAGCGGTTCCTTTAGGTCCTGGAAAGGCTCCAGAATACATCACCTCCAGTAAGTGATAAGCTAATATATAAAACACATCAATCATATAACAGTAGTTATGTTACAGACTTCTGAAGAAAAAAGTGAGTGTGTCCCAAGTTTTTGCGTTACCTGATTTGAATATAAAATAATGGGCAGTCTATTCATGCCCTCTCAGACTATGACTCGGATGCCATGAGCAGTTCCTATGAGTCGTACGATGAGGAAGAGGAGGATGGGAAGAGCCAGAAGATGCGTCACCAGTGGCCCTCTGAGGAAGCGTCCATGGACCTCGTGAAGGACGCCCGGATTTGTGCATTCCTGCTGCGCAAGAAACGCTTCGGCCAGTGGACCAAACTCCTCTGTGTCATCAAAGACAACAAACTGCTGGTGAGAAACACTCAGGCATGTTACTGTCTGTGTACGTACAAATGGTGAGCATAAACTGCACTACAAACAGAATCTTTCTCTCCATGCAGTGTTACAAATCCTCCAAAGACCACACTCCCCAAATGGAGCTGAACCTGTCAGTGTGCAGCATCACACACATCCCTAAAGATGGCAAGAAAAAGAAGCACGAACTAAAGATTGTCCACCAAGGTGCAGACGCCCTGGTGCTGGCTGTGCAGAGCAAAGAACAGGCCGAGGAGTGGCTTAAGGTACAACAATAAATCTCAAAACTAATGCTTTTACCATCACACTGAATAGAGACGGTGTTTGTTTGAACTCTTTTCCCCATAAAGATGGAATTTGTACCAATAATGACGAGCTTTGACATCTTTATTGATATGTATCAATAAAGTTGTGGTTTGATGACCATTAGAATAGTTTCCGGATTTTTCAAGGGTGCACACCCAGTCTTTTTTTTTTCTACTCCAACAACTCAGTTGAGAAGAGAACTTCAAAGGTTATGCCTGGTAGGCTTTTAAGGGGTAAAGAGTTAATCAGTAGATAAAGAACAATCTTGTGTGGCCCAGCTTTGAAGCTGACAAGAACACCAGTGCAGCATACTAGCTTTTCTTGGAGCTTTACTAGCTTTACTTGATTGCTGAACATCTAAAATATCTTGGGATCAGCCTTTAAGTTGCTTTCACATGTTTTAGAGAGTGGGTTCAAGTTACTTTTAAAGAATAAAGGGTGTAACTGTCTTGGCCTTCTTCCTCAGGATGGGCCTTTTCCTCGTATTGTATGACTGGTTTGTTGTGAACAGGTGGTTCAGCTGGGTTCTCTCTCATGTGGAGATGTTTGGTTTGCAGTCCTCTGAGTCCTTTCTTCTGCTTCTCTCTCACAGACTCCCCCCCCCCCTTCCTTCCCCTGTCTTCTCTTTCACTCTCTGATCTTTCCTTCTGGCAGCTCAACAAGTCCACAAAACAAACCCGCCCCGCTGACATCAAATAAGCTCCGGTACTGCTTTTCTGTCCCTGCAACCATTTGTTGTTGGAGAGCACCTCTGTGCTCTGTCTGTTTCAGTTACATTGATGGTGGGTGTCATCTGGTCTTTTTGTTTTAAAAGGAAACCCCCACCCCCCATTCTTCATCTCTGCTCCCTTCAGATGTCATATGTATCTCCTGAAATTTATGGTTTCTCAACAACCTATCGTGTGCTATTTTAAGATGCCTCCTAGCGCATTTGTGTGATGATATTTTTTATAAACATTTGTGGCCTCCAGCAGTTCCAGTGGACTTTTAAACTTGAATGTGTGATTTGTCTTCTTGTTTTCCTCCTTGTTAAGAAAACAATCCCTCAAGCATATTTTCCCCATGTACTGATGGAAACACCAGTCTTCCTATATGCAGTGTTTCCTTTTGGTCTTTCTCTGGAAGTTTCAGCTGTAGCATGTTTATTTCAGTCAGGAAACAAAGACCCAAACAGTTTGGATTTTTTCTTCTTGATTCAATTACTTGCTCCGCATGGTAATTAGATGTTGTTTATTGATTGGCTGGTGCAGGTAACCTCATCGGGGGGCTGAAGTATCTGCAGGCGGTTTCAACCAGACCCATGAAAATATACAAATCCCTCAACCATCCGAATGATGGTAATGAGTGCTCTAATTGTTGCTTGGAGAAACTGGGTCTGGACACATATTTAGTCAGGTGTCGGGATTGTGGAAACAAATTGAACTGATAGTGCCGTGGCAGGTATTTTGTAACTCTAGCAATTGCTCTGGTGTTTTTTTGTTTACTTAATTGATTCACATGTAGTTCGTCATGCCACTACAGTTGGCTTTGTTACATCCAGTTGGCTGAAATTGCCAAGTGGCACATGCAGTGTTACGTTCCTTGGCTGGTCTGTGTTCCCTTCAGCTGTGGGGTGTGTAAGAGTGGCATCAAGTCACACAAAGTGGGTATGTCCCAGTGTGTCTGCTGCCCCCCTCCCTCTTTGTCTCTTTGTGGTTGCCACAACTGAACATGCAGACTACGATTCAACTTACTAAAACTGCTGGACAGGACAGGTTATTAAAAGAAGAAGGAAAAAATAGTAATTGAGACTGTTTTTGGATATTTTAAGTATTCGTTGTTCCCCCTTAAATTTATTTTTGTCTCTTGAGCTTTGTGTTTTTTGTCCACCTCTCACAAGCTCATCTTTTACCCAGAGAGACATTGAGCTTCAGTAACAGTCTTGAATATTATCGATCTGAATCAAAAAAGTTCAAATTTATTTGGATATTTTCCCCCCACTGGCCAACAGTATGTTAAAGGTGAAGGCATGTGAAATAGAAGTCATCAGATTCAACAGAAGGAGCAGCCCTGCTTTGCTCCACAATCGAAGGAGAGGAAAGAAATGAAAGAAAGCAGGGTGAAGGGAAAGCTGGGAGAGTACCTGAGGCTTTCCAAAGCCCATAGTTTACAATAATGAGTCTCCCAGACCCTGTAGGCTAACGATGTGTTTATGGAGCACACATGTCCATATTGTGTCATCGCTTCATTTTCCTTTTCAGTGTTTTTTAATTGTATAGATTCCCCACGCCCCAACTCCTTCTTTGTCTTCATCTTTGCCTGCTGATATAGTCTGACCTCATTTCTTTGTCTCGCTGACTGACTAACTTCTCTTTTCTTTTCTTTGCCTGCATAAATTTTGGGGGAAGTAAGTGGAATGTGCACTGTTAGTCACAGCTTATCTGCTCAAGTTTCCATTACAGTCCAACCTCTTGTGCAAACTCCTTGACAGTGTATGGTTGTCCTGTGCATGGCAATGCCTTCATCACTTTCAAGATAAGCATTTACAATACATTTATAGCTTGAGCTGCAATGCAACTATTCCAGCATGAGCCTTTAAAATAGGCCTCAATGAATTGTAAAAAAAACCCCAAAAAAACCAAACAAACCCTGAGACAGACAGATTAGTTTATTTTTAGGTTGTTTTTTTTTTTGGCATCAATTGGATAAGTGCTGCCAAAAGCAATCACTCAGAAAACAAAAGGTTTGTGTTGGTTGATTATATCATTTTTTTCTTTTATCTTTTGCCAGACAAACAAACAAACAAACAGACAGACAGAAAACGTTTTTCAAATCCCTTTTAACAGGAAGAGAACCAGGGTCATGAAGGGACAGCCATTTGTAGGTTTACAGACATTGTAAAGAATGGGTTTCACGTCTATTAAGTGCTTCAATTTGCTTCATCTGTAAAGAAATTATGCTGTTTTTAGACCATAAAATTGCAAAATGTTCACTGCAAGGAGGTGAACAAGCAATGAGCAACAAGTCATCAGTCAGCACTATTTTCTTTTTTATTGCAAGTTGTGTTTCAGCACCCATAGTTATAGCCTCCAGTCTCACCACCTCCTCCTCTTTTTGATTTGTAGTGCATTATCAGACCTACGTAGTACACTGGCATGGCAGCAAAAGCTCTCCGAAAGAAAGATAGACATGATGTTGCTGTCTATCCCATTCTCTGGCCTCTTAGCTGCTCTCAGAGCCAAACCCATGGAGCCACAGCCTGTCATTTCCCCCACGAAACCCAGTTATGCTCCTTCCAAGCCAAAACCAATGAGTTGAGGAGCCCTGCGCAGCCAGAGATGGTTCAGACGAGTGGGAGTTTGTGTGTGTGTGTGTGTGTGTCTGCATGTGTGTCAGGGAGTGCATTAGCCAACTTGCGCACACAGCGGTTCAACTGAAATCTCATTTTGCTATACCCACTGTTCATCTGCACTCTCTGTCACTGCCACATGTCTGGGATTGCCAGATCCCATGGTGGGTTGCCAGGTCAGACATCCAATGAGGTCATGGTAAAGCACGCTGGCGCCCTATTCACAGCTCTGCAGATCTCATTCACCCCTACTGGACCTTATTGTGTATGGATTCCATGAATGCAGGCAAAGTCTTTGTGTCTCATGTGTGTTACAGACCTGCCAACCCCCACCCCACCACCAACTACTGCCACACACCACATGCATGCATGCTCTCCCTCCTGCAGTTCATGCACTGCTTGTTGCTCCCTTGGCTGTGATTCAGTAGCATGATGAGATGTGAGAGAGTTCACCATACATGTGGCCTGCATTACCCCAGTCAAACCTTCTAGACTGAAGGAATGAGCTTCTTAATCATGTGGCAATTCAGCGAGGAAATATTTTAGGATTTTTAAATTAGGAATCCACCCACATGGTATGATCAGCAGTCAGGAGCCGGTAGAGATGGCGGCATCTGATCTCCCACAGCGGCAATCAAATGTGTGACTGTGGACTTGTTTAATGTGAATGGCAGCCACGTTAGCTAATGGCGTATTTCCTTGTGGTGTTCCTAGGTGATGAGAGAGGTGTGTGTTAATGGGAGCATAGATTTGGATGGAGTTGGATCTGGATCTCCAGTGCATAAACCTGAACTGGAAAAGGTAAACAGAACACACTCACACTGATAGATGATACTCATTTTAACAGCAAATGTTGTATTTTGTTATTAAGTGTTGCTTTTGTAGGGTTTGGATCAGGTTTCAGGTTGGTAGAAGATTTGCGCTTCCCAAAGTCTTAGCAGGTCTGGGAAGTGTATTTTCTGTCAGGAACACACTAAATATGTGTGTGTGTATATATATATATATATATATTGTGTGTGATGTCATTCAGATGGTACCTTAATTTATTAGCCTTGGCTTACTATTATTTGTGCAATAGATAACTTCATGGAACAGCAGTGTTTTGAATCAAATATCTGTCTTCCCACTGTAATTAACACCAGTTTAGTTTAATAAAATGTGCTTCCAGTGTCAATAAAAGGTTACACGTACTTAATCTGTTAAACCAGGATTTGTTACTGTTTTTTGAAGCAGACACTTGCTTCTTATGAGCAATTTTCTTTTTTTTCTGTTGACACACTACTGCCTTTCCAATGAACACAGGAAGGAGAAAGATGACATAAGGCTATTGGCCTTAGCCAATAAATTTTCAAACGTCAATAATAGATTATTTGGTTCTAAAACTCCTTAGATGAATGTATTCTTGTAGACATAACCTTGTATTTTCTTAGTGCAATAAAACAAAATCACAGTATATTTTAAGTCGGTGTCTAAAAACATTTACTTCTATATGGCACAGACAGGAAATTTGGCTTTCATGGGAAAAAGCAGGTAAAATCACTGTAGACAAACTGCACTCGGCACATATATGTGTGCCTGACAAACCTCTTCCAACTTGGCATGGCAAACGTAAGCCCAGCCTAATTATTCATCTGTAACATGTTGCAGATGTTACTGCAGTGTAATTAGCTGTGTTTGTGCGTTAATGCCTTCTTGACTTGTCTGTCCTCAGGAAAGTACAGTTTTGTTCACTATGTACCTTCCTGTACACCCATTCTTTTCTTTCTTCTTCTTTTTCTCTCTGTGGTTGTCCTGTCTCCAGAAGACATCGTGTGACAGGCCAAGCTCAGATGGGGAAGCAACCCATGAGAACGGTCACAGCGACTGCAAGGACCAAGGTGAGAGTCACAGCGACAGTTGCTACCAGAAATGAATCATTTTCATCCATTTTAGTTTGTGCTTAAAACAAAAAGGTCTGAACAATCTTTCATGAGAAAATTCATGTCTGATAAAGAGAAAATAAGGATTTCTAGTTAATTTTGGATTAACAGAACAAGGACTCTGTGTTATGAGTAACAACAACTACAACAACTGCAATTCTGGATCTTTCCATCCCATCTGGTCAAGGTGAATGAAGACCAGTTGTTGCCCTTTATGGTGCCAAACAGAAAGTATATTTTCATCTGGATGACATAGATTAAATAAAATCAGCTTTGAGCTTGCATGTCAACAGATCCATGACAGATGAACAATCTAATGAAGACTGTGTGATTGAGCTAAAAGCTTGTTTTCATAGTGCCATTCCGATCACATTGCATTCACATAGTACCTTTAATCATAGCCCCATGGCACAGTACAACATCAATAATAAAATTCAGTGAGGGACAGGAGTTATTAAAACTGGTGTTTCTTGGAACTGTAAAGAATTGTTCTCAGGCTGAATGGCTGTCTTTCTCACGTAATCTCCCTCATAATTCAGAGAGGAATCTCCGCAAGCTGTGGAAAGGTCAGCCTTTATTGAAGGCTGAAGAATGAGCATTTGGATTTATTTAACATGCTTTTACATGGGGATGGTCTTTCCTCACTCAACTAAAAGCCAAAACAAAGAGATACCGTTGAAATATTCTCAGATTATTTACCGTGTGTTTTCTCAGCTGGCAAAATTCTTCTGGGAGAGAAAACTCATTTTACTTGTCAGCTCAGTTATTTGGATTGTCAACTAAAATTTAACACTCTTTTTTTTTGCTCTGTTTAGATTGGTTAATTTTTCCAGAATTGTATCTGAAACAGATTTCCCACCAGCAGTTGATTTAAAGTCTAACAACCAATTGGGTTTCGAGATTTGAAAAGATTTGGTTGTGCAAGACATTTTTCTGCGTTGGTTCCATGAAATTATGAGATCTGGGGTGATGTGTACTGAAAAAAGAGTGCATCTTTGAACAATGAAGTACGCTTTGTGGTGGTTAGAATTAATTGGATCCCATTGAATTGGATCCCAAAGACCTACATGCTGTTACTGACTCTGTGATAATTTGCTATATAGTAAACATTAGCATTCCATTAATAATAAAAAAAGATCTCTCTCTCTGTCTGACTGTTTTAGCACAGTTTTTCCTTTGCTGCCCTACATTTACTCAAATTTAGAATGTAGGTCCTCAGCCCTGCTTATAAATAAGTTGCCATTATTTCAACCTGGTCCTGTGATCTCCTTTCCTGGTGAGTTTATGGACTCAGTCGCTCAATTTGAGTCAGATTGAAAACAGCATTTATTTGATCAATCTGGTCATTGTAAGAGCCATAAAGGGGCATTATTCATTATATGGTCATTGGTTAATGACCTATGATTGAAAAATTGCTAGTAAAAATTAGCATGTGGCGTCAGGGTCAGATCAACGCCTCATTCTGGTTTCAAAACACCATGATGGTGTCATGGTAGATTTGTCCACGATACTAACCCAGAAAGAGGGAAGAAAAATGAATCCACTTCCACTCCAACAGTAGTAAAGTGCATAACATAGTTATAGAACCAACATTGTGAGAAAATAATTCAGCGACTATCAATGTTCCCTCTAATTTTTCATGTGTCTGAGCGAACACACAAACTCCCTGAGCGGTCCCCTGGACCACTGTGAGCGACATCAGACGTGTGCATTGTGGTCACGCCAGCATCTAATCCATCCAAGTTACGTGGTTTATTAAAATAATCAAATTACAGCATTTACATTTATGTTAGACTACTTTTAAACTGCTTCAGCCCATTTACAATGAAAATGTAAAAAAAAATCTAGCCATTGGCCTGTGTAGTATGTTAACACTATTGGAAATAAAAATGACTTGAACTCCAACTTCGAAAACACAACTTTCTTTTTCTTTTTTTTATAAAGCTCTGACTTGTATTATGAGTATGAGTGTGTGGTCTGGGAGAGAGTCCTGTAACTCTCTGTCTGCAAAATACAGGATATAATGGCCAATGTTGGGCAAATAATTATATAGTTACTCCTCAAAAAAGTAACTCAGTTTGGCAAACAAAGTTTTTTGCAGCTATTTTTTTTAAATGCAGCCAATGCATTTTTAAATAAACATTTCAAACTATTTACAGAACAATCAGCTGTTCTGCATCAAATTTGATGCCACACAAATTATTTGTGCCGCTCCAAAAAATAATTTCTGTCCACTATGAGATAAAGGAGAACAACAGCCTGATACCTGCAGGCCTGACAACAGCAGATGTATCACTCCTGTAACACCTGTAACATTCAGCAGTCGCCTCACTGTTCTGACACACACAACAAATATATTGACTACACTACACACTAACTACACAAGATTTGAGCGAAACATCTCAAATCTCTCACATCTCAAAACACCGCCGTCACTCCTAAAATCCCCCCCCTCCACCCCCGCTTCTTAACAACTATGTTGCCATACCATTTTTTGATTGGTCGACATGGTACTTTTTTTGGACGAATAGGAAAGAGAGAGGGGGGTGGAGTTTGTTTTTGCTCATATACGGAGAGTGCTTTCGAGCCTTTTTCCTTATAAAACGCCTTTTTTACCGTTTCTTCCTGCAGTAAATATAAACAATGATAGTATTCAGCAAGGAAACCAAACATTGCAGATATTTTTATCCTAACTCTAGTTTTACGTGGCCTATCAACACAATTTAAAAACTGGTGTAAAGTCCACACTTTTTCCGTCA